TTTTTTTTTTTACTGAACCCAACAAACTTTCACAAAGCAAGCCATGGTTTACATTTAGGCCAAGATCAAACATTTTTAATTCAATCATGATGCTGTATTATGTGATGCTTGTAAAGCTCTGAATCCAAAGTTAGGACTGACAATGCCACAAGCATGAACTGAACCAATACCAACTCCTTTAACACCAATGGAGACGAAGTGCTGTAGCATATAATGTTTTATGTGTGTTTCTCACCTTCCCTGCTTGATCAGGAATTAAAGATTTCATAAGGCCTCTTTTTATCAGTCTTTCCAAAACCATGATTTTTGAAAGATGACAGAGCATCACATTCAGCGAATATCCTTTGGTAGCCTTTTCCAGACTCCCATAACCATTTGTGGAAAAAAGTAGAAGTACACTCTGAAAGTGTAGAGACTTCATATCTTAAAGTGAGAATATGAAACTCAAGAACTTCACCAAATCCCTCAATATTTTGATAAATACACTAAATTCCTGCTTAAATATTTAGGGATTTTGTGAGATCCTTGGTTCATTTTCTCATTATACCATACAGACAGCGTTTGCATTTAATAATAATTTTGCCCCATATAACTGAGTGGTTGAAAGGTGCTTACTCCAGGTCAGATACAGTACTGTTCTTTCTCCTAGTGTGGGTCCTGGCAAACTGGAACCCACCACACAAACATACAGGGTACACTGGAACAACACCCTGTACAGTAAATTAGTGCTTCACAGGTTACACACACACATTCAAGCACACGGGGACAAATTAAAGATACTAATTAACCTGTCCAATATGCCTTTGGAAGCTGGGAGGAAACCACAGCACCTAGAGATAACGTGTATAAAGATGATTAGAACATTTTAAACAATTATTTGCATTTGTAATTCTTTACTCTCTAAATTGAGAATCACTAATGGTTTCATTGCATGTCACCTCACAGCAGCTACTGCTGCTCTGCAGTGGGGAGAGTGAGTAGGAACAGACATTCTCTTCTGAGCTACCCAAACATTGACTCATCAAGCTTTATGGCACACTATACCCTCTACAGCTCTTTCAAGGGATTATAGTCTATTGTGATTCTGTTGCAATTATATTTTCAAAAATATTTTAAAATGTTTTAGGATTAAAGAGGCATTTCTTTTTCATCCAGTGAATTTTCATAGGACAAATCTGTTGAATACTGTGTAACATTTTCAAAAATTTCATATTGCCTGGGCTAGATTCCTTCATGTAATGAAAACCACCAAATGAATAAAAGAAAAGAAAAATGTTTTTATTTATCCTTTACTATTCAGCCTGTATTTAAAATAATTTACAAAGTAAAAGATTGCAGTGCATGAAAGCATTTTTATTGTTAGTTAATAAGTAACAATAAAATTATGACAAAATTATTTAACTTAAAATACAAGTGAAATCTTCCATATCATTGTACTGTACAACCCACAAATCTGCTTCACATTGAAGAAATGGTTAACTGATTTCTTTCTGTACAAAGAGTTCTTCTGGTACAAAACATTCCATGGTTCAGCACTTTTGAGTTATGGCAGGGAAGAGGGTTAACTGATAAGAGATTCCAAGTCCAGCTAGAGACTAACTATGGGAAAATGAGACCAGCCATTCAAAGTGTTCAAGGTCTGGAGAATGTCCGAACACAGGTGACCTCCCTCCATTACCATGGTAACAATTGGGTCAGAAACGGCTGAAGTTTGTTATATAAACAGGAGCTTTACAAAAATTCTCAGAACAATTCCGAATATATTATTCCATGAATGCAATAAAACTCACTTGTTCAACTTCATCTCGGGGTCCAGAACTTATTTGTTTGTTACAACAACATGTTGTTACATGGTGGTCTATGTTTTAAGCTGAAAATAAAAAAAATAGCTCTTCCATGGTGTCTCCTAAAAATCTATTATTATATTAAGCTTCAAAGACTTGAATTTAAAGACTTTTATGCACTGAAATATCACCAATGGGCTTTAAAAATTCAAAATTTAAATGTTTGCAACTTAGTGCTCTCTTGTACAAAGATGTTATTGATAAATATACTGTATAAATACAGGAACTCATGGAATCAAATGCATTTACAAGCACAAAAGAAGAAATGTAAAAGAAGGTTTTATACTGTTTCAATTATATAATCAGCTAAATTCAACCGAGAATCATTTCCTTCTGTAAGAACAGTGTCTGCAAATGAATGCAACCAAGCGCAATCTGAGAGGTTTTGAATAATGTTTCAAAATGCATTTGAGCTGATGTCCGAGAAAGGATAAAACAAACGTGTTTCCTAAGTCTCCAAAGTTTTTTAGATTATTGTTCAATCCAGCACTTTTTTTTAGATGTGTGCCACCTTTCGTCTGAAAATCAATGGTATTCTTGTTCTGATCTCTTTTATTTTCAGACCATATATAATTGGGTTCAGGGTTGGGGGAAATGTTACAATTAAGACCCCAACAACTTTCGATATATATGAGGGTGTCTTCTCAAAACGATAGGAAAGTATTCTGTAAAAAGATGTCATTTCTAAAGTGATGAATGAAACTAAATGTGGTGTGCAAGTTTGAACAGCTTTGCTCCTTGCATCCGAGTGCTTGTTCCTCAGACATGTGTAAAGTATCTGCATGTATGTGTAGAGAATTGAGCCTAAAGCCAGAGCTTGCACCACAGCTGTCAAAAACAACCCATAGATGTTATTTATACTGGTGTCAGAGCACACAAGTGCCACAAGGGAAGGATTATCACAGTAAATATTAGATATGAGTAATCGACATCGAGGCAACCGCACAACCAAGGACAAAAGCACAGCTATCAAAATGAAATTCACTACCCAGAGCAGTGCAATGATTTTCATTAAATGGGTATTTGTCATGATTGAACTGTACCTTAAAGGGAAGCATATAGCAACATACCTATCATATGCCATTGCTGTAGGTATCAGCAGAGAGCCTACAGCATAAAGGTGTACAAAGAAAGCCTGGGTGACACAGGCCGGGTAACTTATTGATCTGGAATCAAGCAAAATTTCTTTCATTAATTGAGGAAGAAAGGCAGTGGCCCCAATTAAATCATTAATGGGTAGATTGAAAAGCAGCAGATACATGGGTTGATATAGATGCTTCTGCAGAGCAATTGTGAAAAGGACAATGGAATTACAGAAAACAATGATGCCATAAATTAACATTCCCAGAAAAAATACTAGATAGACACTAGTTGGAGGTATATTTAATCTTTCCAGGAGTAACATAGATGAGCTGTTGTAAGACATGTTATCCATGAGTATCTACCCCCTTTCAAATGTGTTCTTCAAGAAGCTGGAAAAGAAAGGTCAGATGGAAGAATTAAAACATATTGTACATTAAAGCAAGAAAATCAGGAGACGGCTATTTTGAAAAAATCTAGGGTTTCTAAACAGTACAGTTGGAAAAACTGAACTCCCAAAACATTAAAACAATTTTTCATGTTCAATTCTTATTTCTTAGTACTAATATCACATTTTCTGTCCCTTCCTGTGGTGTCTTTTAGGTAGTAAAATTAATTATGCATACACTTTTTTTTAATGAACATTTCATTAAAAAACCCGAGTGTTCAGAAAGAAGACTTCTCAGGGTACGATAAGGGTACTTGTTTAAGCTCTCTCAAGATGGACAGTCACTGAGGAACAGCAGTTTTCAAGTCTTTCCACAGAAAGTTACAAGTTTCCAGATTTGTAATTGTCTTATAATGAAAAAATGAAATAATACTCTAAATTGGTTCCATGTAAATATAACAAATAAAGTATTTTGTAAAAGATGTATAGCTGATTTTTTGTATTGTTATAGTCTTAGCTCAGACACAGATGTGTTCCTTTAGAATAGCAAGAACTAACCTTGATTGACACTGTTGTCCCCAGCTTTGTTCCAGACCTTGATAAAAACAAGAGCTACTGGCCTTCAAAACAAGAATGACCACATTTTGTTAATTGCTGTACTTTTATTAAATTGGTTTTGTTAATTGCAACATATTTATTTTCTCTGGTAACAAGCACGGACTTAAAAATGCAAGGAAATCCATTCATCCATTTTTATTAGCCAGGCCTCTAAATAACATTTTTGAATGCAGTGCACACAGAACTAAATTGCACTAATTATTCATTGTAGCATGTATTTGGCTACTAAATTTCTATTGTACAGAATGAGTGTACACTTAAAAACAGAACAAGATGTTATTTTTTTATTTTTTACTAACAAAATGCTATTCCATCATTATTTGATGTCCATATAGACTATAAGTTAAAAAAGTAATAGACAATTATACTCTATCCTTACAAAAGTATATAGATTTAGCCATGTTGCTTACTTCTTTGTTTATGTCCTTAATTCAGTTCCAGAAGTAAATGCATCCTTAAATTAATTTACTGACGTCCTGTTGCGAGCAATTGTTATTGTTCGTACAGACCATGAAAATGACAATGACAGCAATTTATAAATATCCATGAAGGAGGTGCACCAATAACATGGTTCACAAACACTCATGAGACATTTTCTGTACACGATGCTGTTATTCTGAATATGGAAGAGAAAGTTCTTTGTGTAGCACCTGGTTAGCTTTGCTTAACTATTTCGATTAACCATCAGCAAATCTGAACTGAGAAATAAAAAAGGAATATAATTCACCATCTAATTTTATTTAACAGCACATATAAAGACTATTTCTGACGTTCTGTGAAGTAATATTTACCGATATCCATACATTAACAATTACCAGTAGCTGTATCACCCTGTAACTCACAACTGGCAGCCCACAGAAGCTACGCAGGTGTGAGCCTGGCCAGTGTCTAAATGGGAGACCTCATGGGAAAGCTAAGGTTGTTGCAAGAAGAGGTGTTAGTGAAGTGAGTAGGGGACACTCATCTTGGGGCTCATCATCAGTCTGTTTTGGTCCTAATGCCCCAGTATAGTAATGGGGACGCTATACTGTAAAAAGGCGCCGTTCTTCAGATGAGATGTAAAAGTGAGGTCTTGACTCTCTGTGGTCATTAAAAATCTCAAGGTGTTTCTCGAGTGACAGGCTTGATGTACGTTTCCAATCAGCCATAAAATTACAATTATATTCCTTTAGCTTATTTACAGTAAAATCCATGTCATGCTTACTAGTGGTATATTGTTAGAGACGTATATATTTAGAATATTGTATATTATAATACAGCTCCAATAAAACAAAATTACAAATGGATTGTCTCGTGTCAGGAAAATCATCAAATAGTGTGATTCAGAGGAACAGAGGATAGCTTGCAAGGTTTTGTTTGACAATGTGAAGTGTAAAGCAGAAATCGAGCAGAAAGCACTGAGGGAGCACAATTACTTTAGACACAGTGTCATCACCAGAAAGTATTTTATTGTAGTTTATACATTTATATCAACAATTGAATCACACTCTATTCTAGACAAATTCCAATTTCGTAAAATGAGGATACTTTTTTATTGAATAGATTAATGATTATTGTTTTTTTAGTTTTGAGACCATACAGTATAGGACAGGGTTATGTACAGTATAGGGGGAAACACAAAAATGACCACTCCGATTGTTTTTCTTAGACGGATCAAGGTATTCTTAAACCTATTGTATATGAAAGTATAGTGATAAGAGATGTGAGTTCTAAAACTATAAAGACTACCAAATGAGTAGCACAAGTCTAAATGGCCCTACTCTTTGCACCAGAGTGCGTGTTCATCGCACGTTGCAAGGATTTGAATTAATGTAAACATAACTACAAGCAATGACATTCCTTGTAATACAGCTGTCACAAACATCCCAGAATAATTATTTATGATTCTGTTCTCACAAACTAATCCCATAAGAGATGGATTGTTGCAGAACAATCATTTGATTGGGTTACTGTTTGTCATGATTGTATTGTACCTTTAATGGCAGCAGATTGCAATATACCTATCACATTTCAGTCAGTATAAGCAATGATCCTCCTCCATAGAGATACATGAGCAAAGCTTGTATGACACAGGCTGGATAAGTTATTGATCTCGTCCCTGACAAAATATCTATAATTAATTTAGGGATAAAAAGCTGTTGCATCCATGAGATCACTAATTGGTTGATTGAAAAGCAGCAAGTATATTGTTTATGAAGACATTTCTTTAGAGCAATTGTCTAAAGGATAACAGAATTACAGGAAATAATGAAGCTGTAAATTAGCAGTCCAAAGATAAATGCTGGATATTGCTTCTAGGTGGCAAATCCAAGCTTTCCAGAGTTAAAACTGAAATGACATCAGTGGCACTGGAAACCATTTTATTTGTACCATGGAAGCTGTTGCATGAGGGGAAAAAAAGATGTTAGATTATATTCAATGTAACCAGATTAGGAGAAATAGCAATCACTTTAAAAAATGCAAAAAACATTTTAAAAGATCTAGGCATAATTTAAGACTGGGCAAATAACTAGCAGATGATGTTTAATGTTGTTACGTCCCAGTGTGTGGTCCATGTGTGTTTTTGTTGCTATGTTCCACACTTCCTGACTTTGATTGTTCTCCCTCCCCCATTGGTCTATCATTACACCATTGTTTCCGTATTACGTCGTCTTCAATTAACTCTTGACCAATCAGAACTCAGATTGTTCAGTATATAACTTGGAGGTTGTCGGAATGAAGTGCCCTTTTGCTTGACTTTGGTTCTGCTCGGCTCGGCTTTGATTTCGCTTTGTTTTGCTTCAGCTTTGTTGGTTTGTGTTCGTCTCCTCGTACTTTCGTTTGTTTGTGTTTATCCTTTATTTCACCATTACCTTGCCCAAACATGTTATATCAACCTCTGTGTTCTTTTGTAACCTGTTCCTTGTGTCTACTCTAGTTTTTTCCTTATTTGAATTTGTAGTTCACTTGTGTATTTGTGTGAACTTTTGTGTAAAGGGTTAGTTTAGGTTGTTGGGTACATTAGACATATGTAGTTGGTCTCTCTATTAGTAACATTAGTTTAAGATGGGTGAGTGCCTTTTGTTCTTGTATGGTTTTTGGGTAGTTAGTGAAGGTTAGCCAGGGTGTAAGAAGACGCCGAAGACCGAGTGCTTCGGGTTTTGTTTTGGTAGTTAGGTCAGCTTTCCCTCACTTTATTAGCCAGCTTCATTTTGTTTGTTATTTTCTTTTCTTTGGCACCACTCTAGTTCCCTTTCTTGTGTGTTATTGTTTCCTAACTACAAGTTACAAGTACAAGTCCCCAATCATCCAATCAAATATGTTGAAAAATCCTGTATCTTCATCTCACATGATTAATGCAAAATAGGCAGATGTAGAGATGTTTTTGTACACATATTTATAAGCACTCTTGAGTAGCAGCTTAGTTTTATAGGCTACATACATGCAAGAGCTTGAGTAAAAGTGATTAGATGTGTCTTCAAGAAATTATTCCAAGGGCAATTGCATCGATTGTCCTTTCAATTAATCCACAAAAGTCCATTGTGTTGTACCATGTGTATTAAGAGTCAGATTATTTTTAAGAGGTTGTAGGAAAACCGGCTCAGGGACGCCAAATATGTAAGAAAACCGTCTCAGGGACGCCAAATATGTAATCATAGTGGCTCTCTGAAGGCACCAGTTCTGTAGGGTTTGGGCATTTACTGAGACAATTATTAATTGTAGCAGTAAATCACAAAGTTGATTCTTTTGATGGCTTTCGAATCCAACCATGCGACATAACTCAAACAACGCACACACACAGGTACTAATACACGAGAATACATTTATTAATACATAGAATATGCATGTAAAACTAACAGATCTTATCGAGAGGGTTATCAGAATACAAAGGATATATATTCAATCAGTTACAAAGTGTTACACATCAAGAGGACATACGTTCAGTATATCATTCATTAAGACCGTTTCGTAAAGTGAACTTGGTTACAACTTCTACATTAGATACTCAAAACAAGTACATAACTCTTAGGAATTAAATTGATATCAACTGGTTTAGATAACAATTGAATTCTCGAGCTGTAATGTATTGAAGTTGAATACTCATCCAATCTCTGGGGATTCAGATCTCCTGCGGACACAAAGAAACAGTTGCAGGCTGTTGCTGTCCAATCCGCGCTCTCTGGCTCGGTGCCAGGCTGTGCTGTGCGGCTTGCGACGGTGCGCTGCAGATGCTCACTGACCGGCTAGTTAGTGTTGGCTTTAACTAGCAAAGTTTGTGCACAGGAGAAAAGATGACTGTGGGTCCCAGCAAGTCAGGAAGAGGAACGGTTCATTCCTGATGAAGAGCTAGTTCTGAATAG